TTTTTTTTTTAAATAAGCGTGTTTTAATTATCTTGAGGTTTAGTGGTGAATTCTGTATTTGCTCTCTCTCTACATACTCTCTTTCCGTATTCTAGTCTTTTGAGTCTATTCTCTTAGAACTTACTTTCTAGCTTTTCATTACGTTTAATTATCATCTGCCACTCTCTGGGGACTACCAAACTATGGATGGTTTACTGCCTTTTGCAGGTTTGAAACTTCAGGTTCTGAGGCACTTCCCGACCACTTCATTTCTTAAAAAGAAAATAAAGCACTAGTTATTCTAAGCCACATATGCTAAGGCACACCAGAAGAATAAAGATTTCCTAATCCTGCTCAGTACAGAGAAAAGTCTTCTTCACGTTCCCACGTCTGACTGCCTATACAACCCCTTCACTTCTAATTTCAGATAAATACATGTCACGCTAGCCAAAGCAAGCCTCCTTTACAAAGAGTATACATAAGAAATGGTGGAGACTGTGGTTTGTAGGCAATTGGCACGGAGACATCTGTCATGTTTAGAAAACATTGTTAGAAACTTGGTGAGGATGCCCTGGCGTATTTCACACACACACACACACCCAGCCGCGTTTCAGATGGGTCTTGGCAATGCATCTTGTGAGAGATAACTCATTTAACAGGTAATATTTTTGTGGATTTCACATTTTTTGGGGGGCAGTTCTGTTTACACCTTTTGTTGTTGTTGAATCTCATTCTTAAACTTGAAATCAGATGGACCCAAACTGTAGATATCTTGGAAGAGTCAAAGTTCTCATTCCCAACTGGCAGAACTGTTAAGGGTAGCTTACATGGTACTGCTTTCTAGTCACATCGGTTCAGTATTTCCAAGGCTTCCCCCACATAAATAGCACAGTTTATACAGGCAGTTGCACTGAAAACTCAGAGGTGGCATCTTGCTGGCAGTTCGAATTTACCTCTGAAAACTTGCTGGACAGACAGCTATGAGTCTGTTCCAACTTGAATGCAATGAGATTAAGGGTTTGTTGCCTTTTTTTTTTTAAAAAAAAGAATTCATATTTTCCTATGCTTATCCATAACTGAATATCCTGGTATGAATCAGTTCTGAAATCTGGATTTCATTGGGTGTATATCTTCATCTTGCTATGGTGACAAATTAAGATAAGTACACAATAACACTGACCAGTGGTTGAGGCGAACAGATGGGCCCCACCAGGGCTGGCAGTGCACACTATTATTTTCTTTTGCTCTTGGCTCATGGATCTGTGGTACAAAACTGAATCAATATTTTTGAATCTGGACCGCATCTATGAAGTTTTTTCATTCTGGGCCACCAAGATTTGTTTCAATGTGAGAAAGGGACAGTGCTCTTTAAAATGTAGCAGTATACCAAGAGCCCAGAGTTGGCAGTGGAGGCAGAAGTGAAGGGGAAGAAAACTAGTGTTAAATACCTGATAACAAGTAAGGGTTAAGTAATCCATCTCAGACTCAGTATTCTTTCAGCAAATGCTTCCTGAGAACCTAACGCTTTTTCTTTTCTTTAAATGGTATATGTTTACCAGGTCAGTAAAGATCTAGAAGGCTGAAAATCTATTCCAAGATTTGTAAGAGGTATTAGAAACACAAAGAATAAGCTTGCCTTCACGGATCATATCGTTTTGGAACACAAGTCTTTAGGGAGATTAACTACTGTCCCTACCTCTCAATATCAACAGAAATGACTTTCATTGCAGAGAAATGTTCTCAATAAAAAATGTTCACAGGGATAATAAAGCCTTCCAACAATGCAGAGAGGTAGAGAGGGTTAAGAAGTAAACTGGGGTGGAAGGCCCGTATGGTCCAAGCAGCATGTAAAAGAAATGAAGTCCAAAATTCTGGTAAAACTAACTTGCACTATACGTAGAGAGGGACTAAGAAGGTTTAATGGGCCCACACAAAGTACATCATCTTTCCTTGTTTCCCATAATACCACTTACCACCTTCTTTTGCTGTAAAGTCACAAAACAAGTCACTAGATTCTGAAGCAAGCACAGCCTGATACCACGCACTATCTCATTTATGTTCCAGTAGCGATACTCTGGACTGGTAAGGTGAATTAACTTTTAATATTTTCACATCATCAATAACACAGGCAAATGACCACTGCGGGGGGGGGGGGGGGGGGAGAGCGCCAGCCAACTGAGGACAGGCACATCAAAAAGATCAATTACCCGAGAGTGTTTTTAAATGGAGACTAGTAGTGAAGTACTGGGTCTAAAAATACAGTCATATAGCCCCCAGTTCCCCAACTATCAGTTTCCTAAGCGGGGTGGGGGTGAGACAAAAAACATGTGATGCGTTAGAAAGTGTGGAAAGAATTTTTCCAGCCTTTGGTTTTTTTGTTTTAAAAGTCCAAGTGGAAGTGTGAAGGCAACAGAGGGAAAGTGAAGAATCAACAAGCAATATGCAGGTCATGCTTGGAGGTGAGGCAGACATCGGAGAGGTTCTAAGTCTGCAGCAGGCAGGCTGGTGCTGAAACGATCCTCAGCTGGCTAATCCTTCAGCTCACTCAAAGGTTTCCACCAGGACTTTGGATTTCAGTCCTATAGGACAAAAGCTGGAGGGATATGCCTTGGAGTCTTCACTTGACAAAAGCTCCAAGAGGACCTGACTGTCCTTCAGAGAGAATGAAAATCCACTTATTGAGAAAACAGCAACGAGAGCAACAGAATCTCACTACTCTTCGGACTGAATGTTTAGAAGGGATCTTGGTAGTCATTTAGCCAAAATGCAAAGTGAACGTCTCTTTCACAGCACCCAGGATAGATGGTCACTTTAACCTTTGCTCGGGCATCTGCAGCAACAGGACATTCTACTAATTGAGTCCATTCCTCTTTAGATCAACTCTCATCATTAGAACATTCTTAAACTGAAGCAAACACCTGTCCTCTGAAAACGTCCTCTGTTGTTCTGGGTTTTTTTTGTCCTCCAAAGCTACACAAGCTAAATCTAATTTCTCTTTTTTCTTACAGTGCAATAGAAATTTAAGGGCAGCTAATATATCGTTCTCTCCTTGTTCACATTCTCAGTTACTCTCTCTGTTCTTCAGAGGAGCTATTCCCATTTCGTGTATAAGTAGACTCTTCACACCCTAGTCACTTGTGTCTGGACAAAATTTACTACTGTCTCTTAAAGTGTGGTTCCCGAACTGAACATAACCCTCCATCTACACATGGCAGGACCCAAACAGAGTCCAAGACTCCTGGCGTGGTTAGCACTGGCTGAATGCACTGACCTTTTGAATTCCCTAACATAGTCCTTCTCAAAGTTGGATATGCATTTCTCTGAAAAAAAAAAAAAATTCTACAAGAACCAAGTCTCCAAGTCTTCTCAATACTCTGCTCATCTACACACACACACACACACACACACACACACACTCTCTCTCTCTCTCTCTCTCTCTCTCTCTCCACTGTGTATTTATAACATTACATTTTAAAAACTCAGAACACAGTCCTCACTAATACCTATTCAATTTTATCCTTTTGATTTCAGTCCTATATTCAGGTAATTTTTAAAAGGTGTAGTGATTTGTATATCCTAGTGTCAGTGTACAGCTAGAATTCAAAAGATGCTCACTGAATCAATGACCCTCACTTACTTTGTTAGGCAACTGCACACTGTGTCTGGTTCAGTGTCGTCTACGTATCAGGTAAGCGTGCACTGTCTCTTCCCTCAGCACCTTGCGAGTAGATAGAACAGACTTCTACCTTGTTAGCGGAGTGTCTTCTTTGGGATGACCTATGTAATGCCTATTTGTGATGAATGTGTCTGTATTAAACACCAAAGTACAGACAAGCAGCACGGTGCAGAAGAGGGGTAGAAACAGAAAAAGGGAAGACAGACTGAGCATTTTATTAGACTCTTGCATTCAGGACTTAATGTTCTTGGGACTAGAAAAAGAACACTTCCCTTCCAGTTCCAGCCTAGCACATTCTGCCTTTTAGATCAATTAATAGCACTATGATTATCAAACCCTGAATTTTTTTTGGGGGGGAGTTCATTAAACATTACTTTTAAAAGAAATTTTAAAATGATCTTTTCTGCCTAAATTTCATGTAAAGTTTGAATTAAAGAGAAGAGCAACAGTCTATCTAGTGGTTAAGAGCTAGAAAAAGATCTCCCCCAAAGTCCCCCAAAGGCTTGGGGCATAAGACACATATATCCATTTGTCTGAGGATTTTGAAATGGTCTGTATTCTTCACTGTGAATGTGAACTGAATACAGTGATTAATGCCCTTTCCTCCCAGAAGGAGGACAAATAAGCCCAATGTTGTTTTCTCCTTTACAGTCACCCTTTTGCAAAAATACCCTATTGGGTCTTTGTCTCTATTGTTGATTGTGACTGAGGGTGACAGACTCTGGGGCTCAAACTTAGAATGATGGCAAAACATATTTCTATCTAGACAATCTAGAACCAGAAGAGAAGATGCCTCGAATGCTTCTGTTGCATAGTGTTCACATGTAAAGAATGAAGACATCTACAAAGGGACCAGGGGACGCAAAGAAGCATTTGTTTTGCACCTTTGCCGAACATTTTCTAGAGGAAGTAACAGAGATGAATTCCAAGTACATCAGATTCCCAAGACTGTGTTCTCCAGAAGGGCATCTAAGTGACAACGAACATCAGAAGGAATCATGCCAAACATGGATGTGCGAGGGTTTTCTCCTGACTCCAACAATCACAACACATCACACACCAGTGCTGTGAGATAAGCAGGCACAAGACAAGGAGACTTAATACACAATAAGCTCCGAGAGTCGGGGAAGCCACGAGCTTCAGCAGGTCTGAGCAGAGCCAACCAGGCTTCCCAAGGAAAACGGCTGCAGGGTTTCCCGTGAGGGTCCAGGCATCTATAGACAGGGCAGGTCCAACGCACTGTGTCCCACATGGAGCGGCCATGGAGGTACCCACTTGAACAGCAGCCGCTCAGGAAGCGCTCCTGCCATGAATCGTGGTCAGGGTCCCCTGCAGGAGGGCTTTGTCACTGCACCCCACACTCCTTGGGATTTTCCACCTCTTCCCCTTCAAAGTCCAGCTTCAAACTCTTTTTCTGCTCGATTTCCACCTGTCAAGAGTAAGGCGGTGAGAAGTATTAGAAAGAAAAGTATGTTAGCAAATAAATAAGCCAAAAGAGAGCATCGTGTCTGTGAGATTTCTTCTAATTTTGCTAATGTTCTAGACGTAAGCTGCATTGGAACTAATGGCCCTGAACTGACCTTGGCTGTCTTTGTACATGCTTGGTCTGACTTCTCTCTCTCATGGTCCACCTGAAAAAAAGTAATTTCTTGCCTTGCACAGGTACAAGGTCACCTTTTCTGGAAAGTTTCTGACTCATCGTTTTCACCTGTGAACATTCTCACTGTACCTTGTCCAGCTTTGTAAAAAGAGAGGCAGCATCTGTTCACTAATGTTGTTATGTGCTGTCGAGTCACCGGTGACTCATAGTGACCCTATGTACAACAGCCCTTAACTCTGCTCTATCCTGTGCCAATTTTATTATCTCTGTTACACATACCCCCATTACCCCAGTCACTGAATCAGTCCATCTCATTGAGGATCTGTCTCTCTTATGCTGCCCCTCTCCAATGACTGATCCCTCCTTGCAACATGTCCAGAGTATGTCAGACGAAGCTTCAGAATCCTTACCTCCAACGAGCAGCCTGTTCACTACTACATCCCAATAATTGCGGCACATACTAGGTAACTTTGACTGAGGTTTATAAAATGAATTAATTCCTTTGCTGCTGATGAGTTACAACATTCCAAAACATTGTTTCTTTAAAAAAAGGTTCAAATTGAGGAGTATCTGGAGTGTTTATAGTTCTACTTATGACTTCTAAAAATATGGCAGCTGTAATTATGAAAGATTTCTAAATTCATCTTACTCTGAAAGCAGCCCACCTCAACTATATCTTTTGATAAGGCGGGCAGGGACGGCTTGAGCTAAGGGACTCTATAATCAAGGATGCCCCTCTTAATGCCATCTAGCACATTTCTGGTGCTTGATTAAACAAGTTGCTGTGAAATCAGATCTGACCTCATGCGTGTCAGAGCTGAACTGTGTCTATAAGGTTTTTGTGACTGAGTTTTCAGAAGCGGACTGCCAGGCCTTTCTTCTGAGGCGCTGGGGGAGGGACATGGACCCCTAACCTCCCAGGTTGGCAGCCAAGTACGTTAACTGTTTGCACCATGCTGAATCTCTTAGAGTGCTGGTGATGTAGCATGTCGCGTGTTGTATTGCCAACTGAAAGTTCAGTGATTCATGTCCACCAGTTGCTCAAAGGGAACAAGATGGGCAGTCTCGTGGAGGTCACAGCCTTAGAAACTTGATGGAAGGTCACTATGAGTCAGAAGTAACTCAATGGCAGTGGGTTTTTGTTGGGGACTCAACAAAGGTTGACTTATTAGCAGCACTGACTGGTCGGTCACCTTTGAGGGAGGCGTTATTTTACTTCTGACCACACGATGGCGACTGTATTCTTTTTTGGGGGCTAAAAGTCTTGGAGCACACAAGTAAGGCAGCATGTTAAAGGGAAAAAAACCAATCACCCTACAAATCTGAGGGTGTTATTATGAATATAAAATTATTAAACTACTATGGGGGAAAAAAGCTTCTACAAATGGCCTCCTCTTCCCTTATGACATTTAAACTCCTATCAAATTTCTTGTCAGTGTATGGTCACTATCTATTTATATCAGAAAACCTTAGGTTTGTTTACACGCCCCACGGCCGAGATCTCCTGACTATTACAGAACGAAGGTGGGTTTCTGCTTTGTCTGGTGCAGCGCTGGGACTAGATCATGTGTGTCCTAAGCTGTATTTAGATCTACTCCAGTCACGTCCAGAGCTGAAACGTACACTCGGGGTTGCTTAGCTCAATTCTGACATTTCCTTCCACTTTCAAGCTCACAACTCTCCATTATATTCCATGTGAATAAAAACAACATTAATCCTTTTGTTCTCTTGTTGTTGTTCATGATAGAAAGCCCTTCTCTTGCAGGCTAATGCACAGCTCTGCACGGTGAACTACATCTAAAGCAGCACATATGTTACGTTCACAACAAGCACTCCTGAGAGGGCTAAGAGCAGGGAGCGTGGTGGAGGGGACACGCTGATGTGGAGACATTAGCCACAAAGCTCCCGAGGCTACCTTGTAGCTGTAGTGTGCGGAATAATTGACCCACTTCCTGACGTCAGCCTTGTCTTCCACGGAGATGGATCTCACGGCGGCTTTGGAGGCAGAGGTTGTGGGCATGCTGAACTCGACGTCCACGTGACTGGCAAATCTGGAAGGCACTTCCCGGTCAGAACCAAGTTCAAGGTGGCAGAAGAAACAGTGCGGGTGACCAGATGCTAGGAAAGAAAAAAAGAAGGAATCAAGAGATGAGATTCTTTAGGGGAGGATGGGAAAAAAGGCACCAGATGATCTCCTTCAGTAAGCAGCAGCCCACCAGTGGCCCTCAGCTCCTGGGGTCCTCCCCTGGCTCAGAGGGGAAGCCAGAGCTCCAGAGGGTTTTCAGTGGCTGGTTTTTCTGATGTAGACCACCAAATTTCCTTCTGAAGTGCCTGTGGGTAGATCTGAACCTCCAACCTTCCAGTTAGTAGCTAAGGACATTAACTGCTGCATCACCGAGGGCCTCTTCAATACAATTAAAACCAACACACCGCCACTGAGTCACTTTAGACTCACTGCAACACACCACCAGGTGCTAGGAGTTCTAAATCTTTATGGGAAGCGAGTGCTTCACCTCCCCCCCCCACCCCAACTGCCTGCTGGATTCAAACGGCTGATCTTTATTTGGATCATTAGTCCGACATAATGCAGTATAGCGCCAGGGCACCTAAAACTGCCTACAGGCCCAGCAGCTGCTAGCTGTTGAGTGTCGAATGCCAAGAGTAAGGTTTGCCTCTTGTCACAAGCTAAGCTGTGCCTTCTGCCCTTTGGTCTAATACTATCCGATGACAGGAGTCTGGTATCCTAGCAATAAAGCCCACAGCCTGAGAAACTGGACATTGTGTCTGCGCAGGTCAGAGTGATAATTAAACACAACACACATAATGAGCAAAGCGGGGAAGAGACTAGAAGAAAGGACGAAATGGGATTGGAATACAGCACTTAGTAAAATGTCAATGACCTTTCAACTAAAATGCTCAAAGGACGAAACACCTGGAAAGATCAAGTATGGATATCGGATTACTAGTATTTGTCCATCTAAGTACTTTTTTTTTTTATGATTCCAAAATAAGAGATTTCTTTATTAAGGATCATTTAGCTTCTGTATAAAAATCACCAATTGTTCCTTACTGAGTTGTTTTTTGTTTGTTTCTTCTTCATACACATAAAATCTTTGGGGGGTGGCGAGCCCTGGTGGCCTAGTGGCAAGAAGCTGCACTGCAGTCTCAGAGGTGCACTGTTCGAATCCACCAGGTGCTCTGCTGAAGGAGGGTCAATCTCCTCCTGTACCAGTCAGATCTGATTTGACGGTACACTCACACAAAAATAATAAAATAAAAAACAAACAAACAAACAAACAAAAAATCTTTGGGGGTCTGCGCCAACAACTGGAAAAATACAGCTCTCTGTAGTGCTGGGATGACAATTAAGGCATTGAAGTGACGTCTTGGGTCTCTGCAACAGAAGGGTTTACCTTATTCCCCTCAAAGAGAACACGCAGGTTTTTTAGGTTAGAAAAGTAGTCCCTGAAGAAAGAATGTAGAAAGATGCAAACACAGGCATCCATGGTGGGTTATTTGTACCCGACAGCTCTAAAAGAAACACCTTGGGCTCATCAAAGGCTTGCTGGCTGATTTCTGCTGTAAATACACTGTTTGCCAAAAGACAGTGTTGAGAGGGCGGGTGGTACACACACTGGTTTGCTTCTTTGTTTTTAAGTCCCACGGTAAGAATCCAGCATAATTTCCAATCAAACTCAGCACGGTCCTGAAAAAGTCCCCATCAGCATGCTGCTCAATCCTGGCTCTGAACGTAAGGTTGATCACATTGTCCACCTTACCCCCAACCGAGCTGTGCTCCAGGTGTGTAGAGGATGACCACACACGCCAAAAAAAAAAACCAACCCCAAAAACCCCCAAAACAAAACCCAATAACAACAAAAAAACCCTAGGACTTGATTTATTAGAAACATTAATTGGTGTTTACCACACTGAAATGGAGACAAAGTCAGTCTGTACTGCTGTGAGGTTCAAAGGCGATGTGGTAGTAGGGTCATTATTGCTCCAAGAGAATAGACAGAAAATTACTTTTCCGTAGCCAAGGCTGCCCCCCCCCATTTGCAATCCTGGGCTGCGCTGTGGGCCATACTCAGGGAAAGTATCCCTGGGGGAGTGGGTCTGCTGGCTGTGGTCACAGTGGTCCGGGTTGGCCTGTGTCGGTGTGTCTGTGGTAAGGGGCCAGCACCGGGCGCCACTACACCTTGTAGTTGAGCTCAGCGTTCATCTCTGTGTACATCTCGTAGATGACGTCAATGGTGGCCATGTAGTTGACCAGGAAAAGGCAGGTCTCCTCCAGGCATTCCTCCTCAGTCATGTTCTGCCCCTTGAACAGCACCTTCAGGAAATCGGACTTGTGGGGGCCGCATACAGTGCTGCCTGGAAAACCTTCTGCACAATCCAGCCATGGTATTTCTTGAGAGCCATCTCGTAGGTCTTGGTGGCGTTGTTGCGGATGAGGTTGGGGTGGTTCTCATCTCGCTCCCGATCACAGATGCTCTGCAGGAAGACCTAGATGAAGCGGAGACCCCTCTTCAGCCACATCAGCGCCAGTGTGGCCCCAACTCTGGGACACTCTGCTCCGTACTGCTCCTTCTCTACCTCCAGGATGTTCTGCAGGGTCCGGAACTTGGCAGGGTTGGTGTCATATACGGCCTTGATTTTCGTGATGTTGCCACTTATATCTGCCTTGATGGGAGTGAAGACTGGGGACCTGAGGCAATGGAAGAAAGGCGGCAGGTGGGACACCGCCTCCAGGAAGGGCCCCGTCTCGGTCTGCTTGTCCGCAGGCAGCGGCTTCAGGAGGTGCTCGGCCAGCAGCGCCAATTCGGGGTGGAGGCCCACGGTGATACCCCAGCCGGCGCTGCGAGCGTCCACGCTGCCCCCCGGGCTGCTGTCACCGTCAGCGCCCGGGCCGTCGGCCCCCTCCACAGCCTCCACCAGCGTCTCCACTTCCCCATCTAAGTACTTTTACTGGAGATCTTTCTTACATATGGCTTTGCATTACTTTCTAGTATTTTCTCTTCCAACTGCTGAAAGGATGACGTGAGGTAAAACTTAAAATTTTAAGCACCAAATATCTCCTGAATTATTCTTTACCCAAACAGCAGTTTGGCTTCACTAGTAAAGCAGTGAAAACACGTGCCCTCTCGGACACACCTGAGCCCCCTGCTACAGTTACGGTGGACCCCATCCTGTTCAGGGCAGCACAGAACAGAGCACCTTTCAGATCCACCAGTCACAGGGTTGTTATGAGCCATAGCTGACTAGATGGCATGTTAACAAGTATAGCACGTCTTATGTTATGGAGAAGAAATAATTCAGTAAGAGAAAACCAGTGCTTATCCCGAAGAATGTAATAAATATCACTGAACTAGTGAGAGAAGATCTTCACCCTGAAACCCACAGCGTCCCTTTTCAGCAGGAAGTAGCTAAGAGAATACGCCATCCCCTTTTCCTTATGACTCAGGGTGAAGTCTCTCTCAGGGAGGAGTGATAAGGAATGGCAAAGGACACACTGACAAAGAAGATTAATCAGAACTGGCTTTGACAAGCACTGTGGCATTTGGACAAGAACAAACTGGGAGGAGGGTAGAGAGAATAGTGCAACAATGAATGAATGGAAACCCAAAATCTCTGTAAATGTTTATGAAAATTAATAAAATATAGAAAAAAATAAATATCACTGAACTATACCTGTGGAAGCGTGGAAATGGTGTATATTCTACATTGTATACTGTCAATAACAAAAAATTGTAAAATAGAAACATCAATGACAGTTTTCAGGAAGGAAAACACGGCTTTCTTTTGAAAGTGTAACTGAATTTTTTTAAACAGAATTTTGCACTTTAGAGTTATTTTTGGTGTGTTTATGAATGGCACGTGCCAGTGATAAAAACCTTCCACCGCTGGGAATACATCCTGAGGTAAACACAAGTGAGACTTAAAGGGAGAAAAGATTTATACACTGATGTTCACAGCAGTGTGATTCACAATAGGGAAGAACATGGAAACAGCCCCACCCAAATGAATGGACTGAAAAACTGTACACAACAGAATACTATGTTGCGCTCAGAAACAATGACTTTTTAAAAATACCATACAGAGCTCTGACCCACGACCCCCATCTTCAGGTATTGCATTGCTCCCCACCCCCCGACCCGGCTCGCGCACCCCCCCCAGCTCTGAACTTTGGGACTGGCCAAGGGCTGTGCGCAGACGCAGTGAACGGTGGGAGTGGACTTGAATC